CCCCCCGCGACCCCCTCCCAAAGCAATCACAGCTGTTGCTTCAAGACACCAAAGAACCTTATTTAAAATATTTTAAATATATATATGTGTGTGTGTGTGTAAAATACATGACTCATGTTGTCACAGATTTTCATGTGCCATCATTCTATTTCCCAGCACCACCAAACCTGGTGGAGAAAAGCTCTCATGCAGTGGGCTCCTTGGCGGGCTCGGTGGTCCTGCCATGTCACTTCTCCAAGTTGATGTTCTCCACATCCACACCTCACACCTGGACTGATGATGAGCAGCTGAGGATCAAGTGGACGAAGCTGGAGGCAGAGGGAGAGAAGGTGGTGCTGGTGTCCCAGGCTGGAGTAGTCAAGATTGGATCAGCGTTTTTGAACAGGGTCGTAGTGAAGAAACGTCCGCTCTCAGACGGAGATGCCAGTCTGACGATGTTGGGACTCAGAGCCAGTGATGCAGGACTGTACCGCTGTGAGGTGATGCTCGGGATGGAGGACGCTCAAGACACAGTCCGCCTCAACGTCACTGGTGAGTGACACACACACATACACACACACAGGTTTGCCCTCTGTACCTAAGCCCAATAATAATCCCTTATTTATTATTCCTAATTATTATAATTTCCTAATTTTCAATCATATAATATTGTAGCCTTAAGCAGGATATATTTGAAAGGTTATTGGAAAAAAAAAACTCTCACTTTTGTGCAATTTTAAAAAAAAAAATTTTTAATAGTTGCACCTTTGAATTCTATAGATAATGTACACGTTGAGCAATAAAATGTGATAGTCTGACATGTTATTATTATTGATATTTATAAATAATAATAATAACAACAATAATAACAGCTAATATTATTATTGTTATCATCATTATTATTATTATTTATACAGATGTTCACTATTTTTACTACTTCTTTTCCATTTGCACTCAGATGTCAACACATTCTTTTTTTATACGCTGACAACAGACGTCTTCCTATTTTCTTCTATTGTATTCCATTTAGTCACACATTCCGTTGTCCATGTACAGCAGCTGTATGCTGATTCCTTTGACATCATTTGCTCATCACAAGTATAGTTGTGACAAGATCTTTCTGTCTCTCTCTGAGTCCCACACACACACACACACGATTCGCTTTTATTAGTCACACTTACCATCAATATAAGAATTTCACAAACATGAAGAGGGATGAAATCCAGATGTGTGAAGCAGACGGAGACAGTTTCAGGCAGGATTGTAATGGACGAAGGATCAAAACATGACTTTTTACCAATTTCAGCATCTTAATTTATGGTTTATTTTATATCATTGGATCACAGTAACAAAAACTGGAAAATTAAGGTAAAAATGGTAAACAAAATAAATTAAAAAAAAATAGAAATAGAAATAAAACAGTAGACAATAATAGTACTTTAATACATTTTACAATTGAGTACAAGAATAATTTAAAAAAATGTCATTTCTGTCCATTTTACTGTGGAGAAAGTTCAACACACTTCATATTTAATGCTGCTCCTCAGAGCTCAGCATCTCCATTAACTCAACATTATAACAACATTGTTACCAAGACTTACACAGACGAAAGAAATCCAATCACAGTGGAGACAAAATCCCTTCAAACCTCTCAGTAAAAGGCCAATGATTGGTCTGGAATATCCAACAATGGAGACTCTCAGGTCCATTACTGAGGAAATAGAAACTCTCCTCTGCCCCATGTCATCTGCCCTTGGCTCTGCAGCTGGGTGGAATAGAGGGGTATTTCTGTCCTGGCAGAACTGCAGGGTTCAGTTGTTAAACAGAGAGTCTATTAGGAAGAGTCTTTGTTAAGATGTCTGTCCACTGTCAATGTGGAAACTGTGTTAATGTCAGAGAGACAGACAGAGAGACAGAGAGACAGACAGACAGAGAGACGGAGAGACAGAGGGACAGAGAGACAGAGAGAGAGAGAATCTTCCACTGTTTAATCTATGACTTTGACTGAGCTTTTTATTGACTGATGAATGGAAAAAAACCATCTTAACATCAAAGAGACACAGGGATTGGAAAAGTACTGACACTACAGCAAAAGTGCAGTACTTTATAGTAACAAAGAGCTAATAACAAGGTCTGGAATTCAATCATTTCAAAACTTTACAGCTAAGTTACCATCGACTGACCGTTGAATGTATAATCACCTGCTTCTCTACATTGGCATCAATTACCCTCAAAACAAACAAGCTGGAAAAGTCGTACATGAACATGGACTAAAATGTAGAATCAAAGAAATGTTAGTATTTAAGAACAAAACATATAACTTTGGTCACACTTTTCCACCTACTCTATCAGGATTCACAAGGAACACAAGTTAAAACATCTGTAAAACATATTATTCTCCCTGTAAAGATGGACGTCCAATGAAACACCTAACGTCAAAAACAGATACTTTATTTCCTCAAACTACTGTCAGTTGTTTTTATTGTTTTCTCTTGCACTGCGTTGTGTTTTTAACCATGTTGTTAAAACAATTCAAGTTTATTCTCGCTCCGAGTTTTTCTCTTTTTCTAAAAAAAAATTATATATATATATATATGTTTTTTGATGCAGTGATTGGACTCAAATGGAGGATCTATATGTCGTCTTCTATATTATATATTGTCTTCTCCATTGCGTTATTATAACAGTTGTCACCACTGAAAATCCTGGTCACCAGACTTTAACTCTAACAGTCCATGGAATATACCACTAATTGTTTATTTGCAAAATAACTTTTTTGTCAATATGCACAAACACCAATTATCATTAACAAATATTCTAGTTTAGACATGATTTTTTTTTTTAAAGTCATGTCCAAAATGTAGGGTGTAGTCAATTAATGGAGGTACAGTACAACATATACTGCAGTGTATTTTAAATTCATATGGGGTCACCTGAAATGTCTGGTAATTAATAAAAAAAAAAGATAAAAATGGTTTTACAAAACTATTTTGATCCCATATTTGGGGAATTGTTGTGTGAGCAGCGGATATGCTGTTAACAGGAGTGGAGTCTCACTGCTAACACAGCTGTTAACCACGAAGGGACTCGAACCCTCAATCTTCTGATCCGAAGTCAGACGCCTTATCCATTAGGCCACGTGGTCTGCTGTTGATCAAAACCACCACACACGATCTTAAACACTTTCAGTCACCAGTCATTCTGACGTCACAAGACAAACAACGTTGTGAATAAGTCATATACTGTATGATGACTGTTGGTCAGGCTAGACCGGCTGTGCCAAGAAATGAAAAAATCGACTGTTCCCTCTGACTCTAAAATGTATTGACAGACTTGTTTCCTCTTCTGTGTTCAGGTGTTGTGTTTCACTACAGATCCAACGTCAGCCGCTACTCCATGGATTTTCTTGAAGCTGTAGCGGCGTGTCAACAAGCAGGTGCCAATATAGCTACGCCTGAACAGCTGACGGCTGCGTTCGAGGACGGCCTGGACCAGTGTGATGCTGGCTGGCTGTTAGACCAGACTGTTAGGTGTGTCTCTGAGCTGTTTGTTCACACTTATTTCTTCCCACTTATTTCACCGATAATATTGGCTGACTGATATTATCGATATCATCTGCATATTATGTAATATATTTTGTAATATCTGTAAGAATTGTTATTGGTTTTTCCTCTGATAATGAAAACTCCATAACCCAATGCCTGGGTTTCACCAAATGAGTGTTCCCTAAAAATAGTTTTGGGGATAAACGGCTGTATATTAAAGTGAAAGTCACTAGATGGCAGCATTGCAGCTCATTGAATTAATTTCATACATACTCATACAGTCGTTTGTACAGATAAATAAATAAATATTACCTGGCCTATATCGATATCCGTTGATATCGGAATCGGAAAATAAGTGTTTGGACAATATCACCTTATCGGATTTGTACAAAAAAATAAATATCGGACGTCCCTAGATGTAAACATCACTGCATTTTTCAGTCTTTTCTAGGATGATTGTAATTCTCACACCAACGGAGTTGTCCAATTATAAACATACAGTAAATAACATTCATACGGAGCTAAATGTTTTCCCCCTTCGTTGTTGTTTGCAGATATCCGATCACCAGGCCACGTCCAGGCTGCGCCGGAGATCTGCTGAGTCGGCCGGGCGTAAGAACGTACGGCACACGACCGCTCACAGAAAAATATGACGTCTACTGCTTCGTAGACAAACTACATGGTAAATACTGAAGTACATTTGCGTACTGTGCTATTACATGAACTCAGGTACATGAACTTCTGTTCCTACGGTGTGACTTCACTCGTTTTTTTGCCATACCTCGGAACTCCCATGCTGTACATAAGTACGTATGTCCCTCAGTGTAGGACGGAAGAACAGCAGAACAGAAAAAAGTTAATATCGAACATCGCTACTGAAGACCAAAGCCAGAGGAGCCGGAGACATAACTGCAGTCTGTTACTGATAATCAACATTCAAAAATCTTGTCTCTCCCCCGTCTGAAGGTGAGGTCTTTTACCCTCCGTCCATCGGTGAAAAGCTGACTCTGCAGCAGGCCAGAGAAGAGTGTGAAAAGCACGACTCTGTTCTGGCGTCGCCCGGTCATCTGTTCGCAGCGTGGAGAGCAGGTTTGAACCGATGTGACTACGGTTGGCTCTCTGACGGCAGCGTCCGCTACCCCATCACCGTCCCCAAGCCTCAGTGTGGAGGAGGTCTGCTGGGCGTACGCACCCTGTACAAGTACGAAAACCTGACGGGCTTCCCTGAACCTAGTGAAAGGCACGGAGCGTTCTGCTTCAAAGGTAGGACTGAGTTTATACAGTCGTCCTGGGATGTAAAGTCCACCAGTGTCTGCTTGATTTACACCGGTGATGGAAATATATGTCTTTAAAATATGGAAATACACTTCATGATGATTTCCATCAGTCCATTTTTCAGCCATGTTTATTCACATAAACAAATCACTGAGGAATACGGTTTTGTTTTTGACTCTTTTAACTTTTTCGATTTCACTAAATTTAATTAATGTGGTCATTTTTAACAATGACGTCATGGAAGGATACGTCAAATTGTACCGTAATGCAGCCGTGGTTTGAAGATAATATATGGCAGTGGCTCCAAACCTCTGGCCTGGGGGCCTCTTCTAGCCCAGAAAACCCCAATTTCCAGCCTTTAGTATTAAAACATGGCCATTTAATAATGCAAAAAAGGTCTGTACTAACTTTTTGCACTAACATTATTAATGTTTTAAAAAATCGTTTTTGTGTTTGTTTTTGTTTTGAACATTAAACTCAGTTGCCCTCAGATCATTTGAGTTTGGAACCCCTGGTACATACAGTATACTAGCCTGTAGTAATGTGATGTACTTTTCACCTACGGAGGTTTAATGAGCTCAATGACCACAGAGCTGCTCCTCCAACCACAGGAAGGACAGATTTGGTCTAAAGTTAGTCCTCGGACCACTGCACTGCTCACTGATTGACAGCCACCCCCGTGTTGTATTTGCTTAATATAGAAGCGTTGCTAAATTTAATTTGCTGTTGGCAAATGTCAGTCTTTCTGGGGTTCATTCATTAGAAGAGGCCCAGACAGTTGTCTGTGTTTTGCAACGCCTCTGTCGGAGAACGATATGCTGAGACAGGAAACAGAGTGTGGGAAATCTCCAAACCTTGGTTTGCACTAAAGGATGAATCCATATTTATTTATGGGGACATTTATAACCAGAGGTGATGATTTACAACAGTGGATTTCTTCAGTCCCTTTTGGCTTGTGTCCCGTTGAAGTAAAGCAGTATCTTCAGTACTACATCGGTTTGGACGGATGTCAAATGTTGAAACGAAGCTTGGTGAATGTTTCCATAACCGTCTGGACCAAATGACTTCTGCCCTTCTCTGTCCCGACCCTGGGGGCTTTTATTCAAATCGCTGTCATGGCTGGTTGATTCACTGATACTGTACAGTCAGTTTCTTTTTAGGAATGTTTCGCAAGAAATCATGGCTATAATTTGAGTGGGTGGGACAGGGAAATCTTTTTGAATTAAATCATCAGTCAGTTCATGGCAACACAAAGGTCATGGTAGGTACAAGCTCCATCAGAGTGCTCTATTAATGTAACGCAACGTAACAAGATGCAATGTAACTTAACACACCTTAACAAAATGTAATGTAACGTTGCCTGGGGAAACGTGCCGGTTTTTAGATATTAGAGTACATCCCTACTCAAAGCCACACAAGAGTTACAGAGCAAAAGTGTTTCAACATGATATAAAATTGCTTTTTTTTGCTGTGTTTCAACATGATATAAAATTGCTTTCCAATGATTCTATTACTATATATATTTATTTAATTACTATATATATATTATAACTTCAATTATGTTGTGCCGTTTTCACAGGTTCTAATCATTTTTGTTCAGCAGTAAAATACTGGTATACATTAAACACTGCCTATAAAAGATAGATATGGTTTGTAGCTACACCTGTATGTACATCCTTCATCTTTATGTGTTCAATCTCCCAGGAAGAGCTGGAGAGAGTGTTGGCTGATGTCTGAGAAACTGGAGTGCATTAAAGCACATTTAAACAAGCTGTTCCACACTCAGAGAGTATATCTGACCTTTTTGGCGAGGGTGTTGCTGAGGGTGGGACACTCTTAGAGGAGGCTCCGTCCCTGCAGGTTTGTTGGCTGACAAAGTTTTGGATTCAGAAGAAAAAAAAAATCATAGAGATGTTGACAAGAAATATAAATGAAGAAGAATGAAGAATGATTGGCTTAAACTAAACATTTAAATTTGCTAAACAAGCAGTGGATGTGTACGACATAGTGACGTAGTTCTTTACTGAGTTGTGCAGCCCGAGCAAATCAAACACGATCAGGAGAGCTGACAAAACATCTCAGGAGTTAGGAAGAAGTTAAGAGAAGAAAGTACTGAGGATGTGACAAAGTGTTTTATTTGTTCATTAAAAAACGTAATAATACTCAATCCATGATGTGACCCTGGAACAAGATGATGATGATGGCAGCAGTGGTCCCAGGCTCCTAGTTTGAGACCCCTGCTGCTGGGCCCCGCTGCTGTGTATGTGGACTGATCTGAAACACACATGACTCATGGAGGTTATACAGCTGACTTCATCTACGCTGAGGTACCACGCTGCACAAAAGCAGTGCAGTGTGAGGCAACACAGAGGGATGAGAAAGAGCAGACGGTCCCTAAAACCAAACACTCACACTGTCCTTTTACGAGGGGAAAACCCACTCCCAGCACTCTCACACAGATGTCGAAGAAATGGGACCGATCCCCCGTGCTGCACAGCTGGAGTCTACCAAAACACATACGGGGGGGGCATGGTTATAAAGTACTAACTACCAACAGTAAAGTTGTTTTGATAATTTCCACATAAACATTGAATTGTACATACCTGTACTAACATTGTAAAAGGAATCATGAAAAAAAATCTGAAAACAATCTTAGTCAATTAGATCACATTTAAAAGTCATGTGATAACTTCAGCTGTAACATTAATGTCATCAATATTTAATTCAACCCACCAGTTCAAATTTATACTAGGGTGTTGGGGGCTTATATTACAGGTGGTTACCGAGGCATGAAGCTCACCTAAACTCGTGAAAGAAGACAGTAATGTTATGTTGTCTTTATGTCATCAAATGATATTATTATTATTAGATATTAGATATTATTGGTTTCCACCATTAAGACCAGATCATTTTATGGATCTGTTTAAAAAGAAAATCCATATGATGTATTATCCCAGCTTTAAAAACCTGTCAATCTACAGCTGCGTCTTTTCATAAAATAGAAATGTAGTTTTCTTGTGGCTTCAGTGAAAATTCTCACGCCAAGTAGCAATAATAAACCAATGGTTCAGGTGTCACTGTGAGCCAAAAATGATTAAATAAAATACCCCAAAACATCATCTCATCATCTCCTAAGGTTAGGTGTAGGAGACCAGGCAGTAATAAAGCAGCAGACATTCACAAATGAAAGGTTTAAAGTTTACCCAGGGATTTCTTCATTTACCTCACCTGCAGATGTAAATGATGACATCCAGCTGGTTGTCCTAGCAACAACATTTCATTGGCTGAAGCATACGGTGTGTCAAGTGTTACTTCGTCATTCAGCCAAACCTTTAAAAACATCTTTATCTAAGGGAACATACAGACTTATCTGTGCGTTTGGTGACCTGCAGTCAGAGCTCTGGTTCTGTTCTCTCTGTGTGATGTTTTACAAATGACATAATTGAACACAGTTCAGTCTGGCTGGATAAACTCTCTGTCTGGACCTGGGAGGCTGTGTAATGATGGCTGCCAAGCATTAAGTAAAGTGGCAAAGTTGCAGGAGAGAGAGAGTTAATGTATCGTAAAGTGACAGTATGAGGACAGACTTCAGCTACAGCCAGACAAAGTTCACTCGCCAAACACATGACATCATATCTGGGCTGGACCGAACTTCCAACCAGGTCTGCATCAGTGTGAAAACGAACCCAGAAAACACAGCTAATACACAGAGTCTAACATCATCAGCACTCCACAATGTTAGTATTGTTCAATGGAGGGAAGGAGGGTTTTGACTTAGCAACGTGGCTTTACCAAGAAATCCAGTCAACCTAAAACAATGTTCCAATTTCTGATGACGTTGAAGTACAAAGGTCTTCACCATCATCAAGTAACAGCGTTACAAAAAACATGTTGGCCCTGGTTAACTCTGACTCGTACTTACTGACATATAGTAGAAAGTTAAGTCAAAAATTTAAATCAGATTTGAATAACTGACATATGTTAAGACACTTCTCTCAGACGTCACCAACAGCTTTGACGTGAAGTTTTAATGCTACGTCTTCGTGAGCATTGTTCAGATATTTCTGTATCGAACAAAAAAATTCTTTACACTGACACTGACAGAGTGTCAATAGGACTGAGGATACGCCATAGTTACCACAGCCAGGTGAACAGAAAGTGAGCAGAGCTTTTATACTAGTAGTGCATTTCAAATGCATTGAAAACGAAGTGTCACTTAAACTGTGTCGTACTGTTGACACCTTTTAATAAGCAAACGAACACACACAGTGTCGGTTAAAGAAGTCACAATGTTAGGTGGCTTGATGAGGTTAAAGCTCTTATTCAGTCAACTAAGTTGCTTAATGGGTTGCTGGTTCGGCACATGACTTCAAGTACGAATATGAGCATTTGAATGAAGTATCAGGCCTGAAACTGCAACTCATGTTGGCAAAATACAAATATAACATTGTGGAAAGAAAATCTCCAGTCGGATTAAAATTAAAATTGAATCAGTGCCTCCACTGATGGATAGTACTAACTAGATCATTCCAGAATCCTTCAACACATGCTTTACTACCGAGGTATGTGAATAATAAAAGGAAAAGTCATGTTCTGTGGGGCAGCTGTGACCTTGACCTTGGTGTGGCCCTAATTCAGACACAGAAAATCAATTGGGGTGAACGTTAGCCGGTATTTAAAGTTGAATAGTCAGGACACTCTGACAGTGAACTAATGAAGCCTGTACACGTGTCTCCACTTTACTCACCTCACTGCCAGAGTGTTCTTCTCTTCTCATATGCAAGACTTTCCAGCACCAGTTCTCTTTCCCAGAGTTCCCATTACTCACTCTGCCTGTTCCTGACCTGCTGATCTTGTCTTAGTCAACACAACCGTCTTCTGTTGTTTCAACTCTGATCCACTCATATTCCAGCTGCCTGGTTTTTCACACAGAACACAGAAGTTCATCCTCTGTGGCTCGTCTTCTTCCATGTGCCACTTCTTCACAGCAGGAGTGATGTCATCGCCCTGTCATGATGTGACACTGATTTCCACACACTCTATTTCAGATTACAATAGTTCTGTCCTCCAGCTGCCATTAATTGTTAAGTACTCAGTAATTCTGTGTTTTTTTAAACCCACCTTCAGTTAAAGACAGGCCTGGGTGATTATCTATTATTAACATTAAACACGTGTGTGTGTGTGTGTGTGTGTGTGTAACACCCTTCACACAAAGGTTTATTTTTCTCTGTAGAAATCCCACACCCAGGTCCAGAGCCTTTAAAACCAAGTCACCCTGGTTTGACACGGTTATGATACAGAGGGATGAGAGTGAAGTATCCTGTAAATAAAAGTTGTGAACGGTTATGATACAGAGGGATGAGAGTGGAGTATCCTGTAAATAAAAGTTGAAGTGAAGTGACTGGTTTATTAACGAATAACTAAAACAGAAAAAAAACGCTCTTTTCCTTTCTTTTAATAGCGCGGCTACCTGAGCCCACTACCCCGGGTCCAGCGACGACTTCAGTTACTCACACCTCACCTGAAGAACCCACACAAGACTCCCACAGCACCACTCACCCCCCCCTCCCAGATCCTGAAAGAGCTGAAATCCAAATCAGTGGAGCAGAGCCAGCTGCCTTCTCAACAGAAAGGCCGCACACGGCCTCAGCGGACGAGCACGGGGACTTACACACCTCGCACCCTCACACCCCAACCACTGTCTCCCCCGCTCCCACCTTAGATGACTATGATTATATTCAACAGTTCAGCAAGGACAAGGTTCTGGCTGTGCCGGTGAGAGAGGAGATTTTGGAACCCATGTCACTTCCACCTTTGCCAACACCCCCACTTGTGAGAGATGTCCTTGATGTCAGCAATGAGGAGGACAACGAGGGACAGATCAAAGACAGTGGGCAGGAAAGCAGTGTTGACACCAGCTCTGATGTGACCCAGGTGGGAGTGGTGCAGACGCCCACAGGGATGTGGACAGGAACAGAGTCAGGGCCCCTGCAGACCACCGTGTCACCGGGGTTGGATGTAGAGCCCACACAATCATCGTCCCAGCCTCCAGAGATCACCCCTCAACAGGCTGACCCAGAAGTCACCAGCACACAGCCAAGTGTCCCAGATGGTAGTGAAGTCGTCCCGCAGCAGCATCCTGCTGTGGTGTTTAAGGAGGTCTTATCTGAAGGGGTCCACATATTTGACCTGGAACGTGGACAGGTCAATGTTCCAGTAGTTGAGGAGCCATCGGCCAAACCACCGTTCCATCTCATCATTGTTAATGTGCAGAGTCAGAATCAGTCAGGTGAGTGTGATGTTTGTTTGGCTCCTCTAAAACTGAGAGCTACTTCAACGGCACTTAGTAACACAAAGAGCTACTTGTTCGATACAGACTTCCTGACCAATAGAATAATAATCAGTTCTGGGACATCCAATAGTAGACACTCTAACCCTAACCCTACCGTCGTCATTGCACCCATTTGAATATCATTGCAAGAGTAACTGCTTCAAAAAGCACAGTAACAGTAGAATTTGGTTGACTGGTTAACTTTTAGAACATAAGCTGCCCACTACCAGGTTCCCCACCTTGGTGACCCCTGCTCTAACACATGACATTACCATGCTGAGGCTTGGTGGCAGATCTCACATCCTAGAGTCTGTTCTGGCTAACGTCACAGCCAGCGTTGTGATAAAGTCACGGTGATGTCATATCGTTTTCAGATGTTCTCCGTTTGTGCTTGTCCCCTTAAGAAACACAAACTGTGGGAACAACTTTGGGAGATGAATAGCTCTTGGCTTCTCCCAAGGTTTTTTTTTTTTTTTTTGCTTGCTCAATGCACCACAGCCACAGCTGGAATTGAACCAGCAAACCTGCTCAAAGCTGAAATTCTAGGCTGTGGTCTGTTGATGAAGTCCCTGTAGCACTTCAGTGGACACCACAGCAGTGTGTACATTTGGACCCCCATTCATCATTAGTTCAGTACAGTGTTGATGTGACGTTCTGTCACCATGAACATTTAAAGAGACACATTACAAAGAATAGACTTTAGAGCTGTTGAAAACCAGCGATGCCATATTTAGTTTCTGGACCCTTCTAGAGCCCCTTTTCCTCAACCTGTAAAGTGACTTTTTGTAATGTTATTGGAGACACTGACGTAATAGTCCATATACTACACCCTTGCCCCTCCCCCATCTCAAACCCAGTCCTCCTGTTGCTCTAGATCCTCCCAACTCTGGTCGTAGCAGATGTTCAAGGTCGCAGCTGGCTGTGAACATGACTTTTTTTTTTGTCTGAAGTAAATCACTGAATTCATATTGTTCATGTTTTTCTTGTGTCTGGTTTGAGACTCCCAGGTGGACAATGATGTTGAAAAAACAAAAACCCCAAACCAGACAAAATACAGCGCTATTTACAATTAACATGGAACGGAGACAACGGAGCTCCTGTTCATATAACGTCACACCTTTAACAGTGGAATCATATTCATCATGTTCAGCGGTCAGTGTGGCTTCACCGTGTTGAAGCTGAAGCTAATACGTCCATGCAGCATATCTGTGAGCTGCTTCAGTGTATTGTGCAACACTGTTTTGGGAGTTTTTGAGTGTTTTTGAATGTTACACTGTACTGTCAGGGTTGTTACGGGAGATGTTACACTGAGTTCTGCTTAACTGTTTGTTACACACACATAATTTAACATTCTCATAGTCTTATTAGCACACACACACAAAAACACACACACACACATATTGCAGAGCCAGATGTGGAAATTTAGGAACTTAGTCATCTCCACTTGGCCAGTTTTGTTGCTTAACATATTGTAAACACATCTCTGTGGCTTCCACTGGGACATCTGCAGTAGAACTCCATAACCAGTCAGAATGTGTCTGAATGAATTCTTTTTCTTTCTTTCTGTCTTTCTTTCTTTCTTCCTTCCTTTCTTTCTTTCTTGCTTTTTGTCTTTCTTTCTTTTTTCTGTCTTTTTTCTTTCCTTCTTTTTTTCTTTCTTTTTTCTGTCTTTTTTCTTCCCTTCTTTCTTTCTTTTTTCTGTCTTTTTTCTTCCCTTCTTTCTTTCTTTCTTGCTTTCTTTCGTCCTTCCTTTCTGTCTTTCTTTCTTTTTTCTGTCTTTTTTCTTCCCTTCTTTCTTTCTTGCTGTCTTTCTATCTTTCTTTCTTTCTTCCTTCCTTTCTTTCTTTCTTCCTTCCTTTCTTTCTTTCTTCCTTCCTTTCTTTCTTTCTTCCTTCCTTTCTTTCTTTCTTCTTTCTTTCCTTCTTTTTTTCTTTCTTTTTTCTGTCTTTTTTCTTCCCTTCTTTCTTTCTTTCTGTCCTCTGCATTTATATTTAACCTGTTCCTTTTTTTTCCTCAGTTGATCACATATTGGAAATTTTGAACCAGCCCATTTCTGGGCTCAGTGGCCCCCAGGTCCCGGGGATTTCTGACCTTACACATATAACCAGTGAGGCTATCCAGTTCAGTGGAGACACAGACTCCCTTCAGCCGGCACCCATTGATCTGCCTCAAAATATCAGCTTTTTCAATGGAAAATATGAGGTATTTGGGGTTTCTGATAACGGTACTTCTTTGGGTTTGGTGTCAATGAATATGCAGTGAACTAGAAGGCAGTGTTATATACCGTACACTATGTAGTATAAGTGAATTTAACCTTGAATATAGCTTTTACACGTATAGCCAATTTCACTCAGACAGTAGTTTCAATTAACTGTGCAGTATTATTTCAAATTGTCAGTAAATAAATGAACAAACACAGTGTTGTCAAACTCTTAAAGTAACAGAACAAATCTGAGTAACAAACAACATTCACATAACATTATCGCGCTGAATGATCACGCTTTCGAGGGAGAGTATCTGAGAGAAGTATCTGTTCATCCCTGAAAAAAAAAGTATCCTCATTCAGACAGATGACACACATGAGTCAATAAATATATATATCATTTTGATCCACTCAGGTGACCTTTGAACCCAAGCAGCCTGAAGAGGCCAGAGGTGACCAGTTCGAGACATCTTCACCTGTACAGGTAGAGGTCGTGGATGTGGAGGAGAAGAACGTCACTTTTGACTACGGCATCATAGAACTCCAGTCAGAGGAGACGCCGTTAGAAGAAACAGTTGCTGTCACTCAACCTGCTGTTCCGTTCCTAAATGTAGTTACAGACTCCATGGATGACAGGGAGAAACTTGAGAGTGTCAGAACTCCTGACCCAGTCGATAAAACCGTCTTGACCACAGACACCCACCGTGCCTCATTTGTTTCATCTACAACGCCCTCAGAACCCATTTCCTCCAGGACCACACCAACAGTCACCAGTGCAGCCTCTGTCCACTCAGGTCCAGTAGGTTCTGCCAGCTGTGGAGAAGATGGCTCAGCATGTGATGCTCCACCCACACCAGCTGGAGATAGCCAGTCGGCCATGAAGACCGATGAAGCAGAAATTGGTGGGACTGAACTGCCGACTCACACCGTCACAGCGTCAATAGAGACCACTGTAAAAACACAGACTGCTGACTTTGAAGGCTCTGCCTCTGGAGAGGATGAAACCTCTGGGCAAGACCCCTACGAGATCACCGTGGTTACCAGCACGGTGCCACCAAAGTTGTCCATCCTTTACACCCAGCAGTCTAAAACGGACTCAGGTAGCGATGTTACAGAAGTCCCAATGGTTTTACCAGCTCTTGACACCAACACAGAAACAGGCTCAGGTGATGAACAGCCGTCCGGAGAGGAGGAGGGGGAGGAGTCTGGGGATCATGTCGACCAGGGTGAAATTAAAGGAGAAGCTGCAATGACAGCGTCACCAGCTGTGGCAGCATTGAGACCCACTGCATCAACACCACATACATTTCACACCTTAAAGGATGAAGATGATGAGAAAACCCAGGCTGTTAAACAGCATTCTGAAACCACCACCTCTGATGACCACGCCCTCCACCTCACCCCCCCTCAGAGAGTCCAAACCGTGCAGCCAGTCGTAACGTTCTCTCAATATTTAAACCAACCTTCTACCACCATGACGCCCTCGTACACTTCCCAACAAAACATTCTCTCTATCCCCCACTGGGCGCTGACCCCTGACCCGGCTGCCACCCCTCTGCCAGAGGTTGATTACGTGGATTATGACAAAGAAATTGCCCCGCCCCTTGTAGAGTCAGTACCTCGACTGCCAGATAATATCTTTGCCACGGAGCAGCCGGAGGTCAGCACCGACTCACTCTTGTCTGTGGAGGCCAGCAGTGTGGATGTCAGCGGTAGGCACCTCTTATTCTGATAAATCCAAGTTCATCAAACACTCACACCCTGCCATCTTTTACTCAAGGTTAAAAATTCACACAGATCTGTATGGACAGAAGAATGATGTCAGTGATGATGTCGTTGTGGTAAAGAATGATGTCAGTGATGATGTCGTTGCACATATATTACACAAGGAAATTACAAGGAGGATTTCCTTAAAAGGACATTTAAAGTAATGTTTTTTGGGCTCCTCAATGTAGATGATTTAGGTATCATTGGAGTAGGAATAGGACGTAGCGTCTACAGTTGTGATATCACTTCAGTGATAGCGGTGTTCAGTGTGTGTTCATGTGAACTGCACTTTGAAAGAACACACACACAGTTAAGTAAACATCAAACCAAACCAGTGTGAAAACACTACAGGTGTGACTCTGTGGCTGTCTTTATGTTGGATGATTGTCCTGAGATGAACCGGTGATTGTGATGATGAGGCGCAGAATGAAAATGAAGTCATTAATGATATCTTATCTGTTATTAAGATCTGCCATGCTCAACCAGCGAGTGTCAGAATGGAGGCTCCTGCTACAGACGGGGAGCACAGAGCATCTGTGTGTGTGCACCTGGATATACAGGGCAGCTCTGTGAAACAGGTAGACACTCACACACACACCTGCCGTTTACTACCTGCTCTAACCTTTAAACCCTGCGCTGACAGACGCAGCCTCACGGTCATAACTGTGCGTTGCCTCTGCAGATGTGGACGAGTGCCAGTCGAACCCCTGTCTGAATGGAGCCACTTGTCTGGACGGAGTCAACTTCTACAGCTGCCTCTGCCTGCCCAGCTACACAGGAGAGCTCTGTGAACAAGGTGAGCTGCTCTTCACCACCACACCACCACTGTAACAGCTAAGAGTGTAGTTGTACGCAACTAGACTGACTGAGGAACTTCTTCAGTTTCTTCCTCAGTTGACATCTGCTCAGACTGACTGAGGAACTTCTTCAGTTTCAGTTGGTCCAGTTGCGAACAGATAAACTCTTTGGATAACATGACCTAGATGAATGAGAATCCTCACAGACAAACTGCACTTTGATTTGATTTAGGAGGGTTTTTTTTATCTTAGAGCCAACAAGAAATAACAATAACAACAACACAGGGAAATCATTTCATCTTAACACAAGTTGACACAGATTTGAAAGACGCAGAAATGAATGGAATCCCAGCCTTTTGACTTCATTTTCTGGTTTTATTCCATTTCTTTAAAATGTATGCCGTTACTAATACTACCATTATTTCAGTGTGTGTTACCATTAAAGCAGTGTAGTCATTTGTAGGGATGATGAGTGTGTATTTCATATACAGTTTTTGCTGTAGTGTTAAAATAACAACAAAAATTCTTGTCACGTCATCGACCCATTCCCATAACTGTGAGATTCCTGTTTCCAGTTCAACACATGACATCACACCAGTGATACAAACACACAATACACAGGACACCCTGTAGGTGGAGCTTGACGAAATTACAGTAAGTAGGTGAAGGGTCAACTCACATGTGGTGTAGTGTGTCCCTTCACGTTAGGCTGAGTTCTGGGTTTTGGACACTTTAACACAGAGTACGGTCCACCTGTGTGGACATGTGGTGGACACAGCCTCTTGTCTTGGCCTCTGCGGTCTCTTGTCGTCAGCAGTTCTCCAGCACTGGGTGTTGGCTACTCAGCAGATTAGTTCCAGTTTCTCCTGTCCAACTGTTTTTTGTGAATTCCCAAGAGCCATGTGCAGGGAAAGACACAAACACAAAAGGATTTTAATATAAATGTAAAGACTGACCAGTGATGAGTGATCAGCCAAGTGGATTTAGCTAATGGACTGTAGGACATGTCCTACTGTGTGTCTGTCTCTCTGTCTGTCTCACTCACTCACACATTTCTTTTTTTGACCATGAACCAGCCCACGCAGTCAGGACCTTTGAATGGGTGTTTGTTATGTTCGAGAACAAAGTGAATAGAACTGGAAATAAACACATTGACATTTTAAATCCATGCCTCTTTATCTCCTCTCTTCATCAGAAGAACAACCAAAGTCTGGACTGTATTCCCACATGACCTCATTTTCCACATAAGCCAATACGATTCCTTAGAACAACAAGAACCAGGAATTCAATCCAGCAGTTTTTTCTTTATTTATCAGAGAAAAACCAGCCTAGAACTAGAAGAATTTCACTGGGTCAATTACCAACTAATGCTCCATGTTCCGTGGCTTCTAGAATAAGTCAAGAATTTCTTTCAAAACGTTGTGATGCTGTTGTTGTCAACAATATTAACTTAATATAAACTTACCGCTCTGAGGCTGGTCTGTCAGTTTGACTGGGACTCTTAGGAGTGTCTCGTGCAAAACCTTCACAGATCCTGCAACTCTCCTCCTCCTCTTGTTGTTTTTCTTCTTCTTGTATATTTCTCTCCTAATTGGTCTCCTCCTCTTTGTTTCTGCTGTAATCCTGAAAACTCTCATCCCTTGCTGTCTCACTTCAATCTCTCCTGGCTCTTCCTCTACTGCGGTGCTACCCAAACCTGTTTGATCCACAGACACAAACGATTGTCTGGGATCAGATAACCCCAGACAAATATGTCAGAACAAGTAATGTATTGTGATAATCTTCTTTCATGAATTTACTGGGGCCTGTTTAGTTGAACACAACACAGGAAATGAAGAAAGACTGCTGCCACCTAGTGCAAGTATTTGTTCTGCCTTTCATTATTGCGAAGAACAAAGAAATGATTTGCAGTATGAAAATAATGGTTCACACATTAGATTTGGTTGTGTTCTTTTTTAGAGAATTATTTTCAGAGATTACATTTTTAAAATTGAATTAGAAACAAGTATTTTCAGTGTATGTAAATACTGTAAACAAGATTAAAAATATCCTTGTTTCCAGAGCCCTTTGTGGCCCATGTATCCGTGTATAGATTTGGTAAATACTATCCTTGTTTCCAGAGCCCTTTGTGGCTCATGTATCCGTGTATGAAGTAAAGTCACATCTGTCCTCCTTTCTGCCAGGGGAAGGAATGAGGAAAAAACATCGGAAAGAATGAGGAAAAAACACATAATAGCTCCATTATTTTGACAAAAACTTTTGCAGCTGTGTGCCTGAAAAGTGCCCCAGTTTTATTAGAGTCAGGCCCTTCTCCAGCATGTGAAGGAAGAATCCCTATGTTGACTGCAGATGGTCACCACTTTAACAACGTCACGAGTCATGACCTTCAGCTGTGGGCCTATTTGTGGACACAGTGACCACGCCTCACCTGATCCTCCAGGTGGAGCTATAAAAACTGAAGGTGGCTGACCTGGCAGAAGCTGACATCCCAGAGCTTCTGCAGAACAACAGCTTTTCATCATTGCTTTATTGGCACAGACTGTATCCTGCAGACTCTCTTACAGAAGATCCATTGTTTACTGGGTCGGTCCAGGCACAGAGCTGATTACAGTCATCAACCTCAAACTGAACATGCATGTGTTGGTGTGGTTGTTTGAACCCATGTGTGTATGTGAGATGTGCTACAGTAAGTTCATGTAGTCTAACCACCAGTAGCAGAAAATTCTCTTTTCTCCGTCTCCACTTTTATTCCGTCTGAATTAAAATGAATGGACAAGACTGTGTGGCTGCAGCAGCAGCAGCTTTGTTTTTCTAGGTTTGAATTAAAACAGATATTGAGTTGAGCTCTTTTGGACATACTTCCCACCATTCATAGACTTATATTTGTAATACATAATATTTTTGTACAGAACATTACGTCCTAACGTTGAAGTTGTGACAGTATCTCTGTCTGTCTCTGTCACTGCAGACACTGAGGTTTGTGGATTTGGTTGGCAGAAGTTTCAGTCTCACTGCTACAAGTACTTCCCTCACCGTCGCACCTGGGACGCTGCCGAGAGGGAGTGTCGGCTTCACGGTGCTCACCTGGTCAGCATCCTGTCACGGGAGGAGCAGATGTTTGTCAATCGTGAGTCCCTGTTCAGACACCTGTTCATTAACCACAATGTTGGCTTCCATTACAGTCCACATTCAAAATTACGTCGTTATGAGTCTAAAAAAAACCAACACTTCTCTGTGTTTAGGTATGAAATGTTTGTTAATTATTAATTAATTACATTGTTGGTTAATTGTAAATAAATTAATTTTAAAAATAGTTTTTATACTAATTGCTATCCCTCTATCTACCAAAAGGTGGAGAAATGACACCACTGTACTAACACCAGGGAAAATTAACAACAAACTAACATAAGTACAGACTGGTGCAGTAACATGTAATAATGTCAGTCAAAAAGGAAAAAAAAATACTGCAAAAATTGCTGCTTTTGTTCTACTGTACAGTGAGAGTACACTGTGTTTCCCGCAGGTCTGGGCAGTGACTACCAGTGGATCGGCCTGAACGACAAAATGTTTGAGAGGGACTTCAGATGGACGGATGGTCAGCCAATGGTGCAGTAGAATCGATTCTCTCTGGACTGTAGTATGAATGTAGTATTGGTACTTCAGTGACTTCAGTTTTCCTGTAGTAAAACTATAAAGCTGCCACGTCAACACGGCCGTACCATGAACTAAATATCTTTCATTTTAATGGAGGTTCTTAGATGAGACAGTGGTTCCCAAATCTTTCTAAAGCGCCCCCTTGTGTAGACAGGACTATTGTCAGGCCACCGCCCCATGTCAACCCTGTTTCAGCTACTGTTACAAAATGTTTTTGAACTAAACACTGATATTGTCAATGAACAATAAAAATAAAACTAAAGACCATCAGTTTCCACCTCTGGCCCAAATAAACCAAATCTGTGCCAGATTTTCTGCAGTAGGTCCGTGTCCCCACTTTGGGAATGACTTCCTGGTTAAGATATGACGATATGAAGCCATGAGGACTACATTGGATCATATATGTGGAATGTGATGTAGAATAACCTGTGTTAAATATATGTGTTGACACAGCAATATGACTACTGGAGGCCGAACCAGCCCGACAGCTTCTTCCACTCAGGAGAGGACTGTGTGGTGATGATTTGGCACGAGGGAGGTCAGTGGAACGACGTGCCCTGCAATTACCACCTGACCTTCACCTGTAAGAAGGGAACAGGTATGTCCACGCAGAAACACACACGAAAGATTCGGTCAGGTTCTATTGATGCTAAACCCAAATTCAATTTTGTATCAAAAGTTCTTTATAAAATGTTGTTGCGTTCCCTTCAGTGTCATGTGGGCAGCCGCCTGTGGTGAAAGATGCTCGGGTGTTTGGAGCCATGAAGCCCAGGTATGAGATCAACTCGCTGCTCCGCTATGACTGCAAACAAGGTTTCATCCAAAGACACACGCCCACTATACGCTGTCGCGCCAATGGTCAGTGGGACAGGCCCCAAGTCACCTGCATGAGCCGTGAGTGTTTCCTACAGAGCAACTGCTGTTGAATCATTGCTGGATGGGCTGTGTTAAAATAAAAAAACAAAAAACATTTTCATCGTTGACAGCTGCAACGTACCACACGTCGTTTTCTCTCCGGCACCAAAACAAGATCAGTGGGCAACAGAAGGGACTCCGCAACCACGTTCATGTTCATCAGAAGAGTGTAGACCAAGAGCAGCAGGAGGGTCACAGCGTCCTGCTGAGCCTCTGGACACCTTTACAAGACAGAGTCCAGCAGCTGTTCAGGGAGAAGCGGGAGGAACAGGTCCAAACACATGAGGAGGATCATGGGAAACACTGATAAACTCTGTGGGTCACACAGCCCAGCATGTCTGCAGCAGCCAATCACAGCGGGCTGTCCATCTAGCTGCAGACGTTAATAGATGGACAGAGGGAGGACACAGCTGTCTCTCTACGACTCTGGGACAGACATGGGAGGACAATGTTTAACTTGTATATATTTTTTAATCGAAAAAAACATTTTAGAGTTTCACCAACAGTAGTTCCAAACATATCACACAGTTTTATTGTCAGGCACAAAAAAACTAAGAAGGGCGAGAATGCATTTTGTTCTGACCCAATCAGACACAAAATAAGGGAGAGTGACAGGACTGGACCAAAAAGAAAGGGCGGGGCAGAAAGTAAGTGATAAAAACCCCACTAACATCTGGATGTGTAGGGTGTATAAAAAAATAAAGCTGCAGCTTTACAAAAAGTGTCGCTGAGGATAGTAGAATTAAGCCATATATATATACAGTATATGTATATACTGTATATATATATGGCTCAATTTATTCAATTTATTAGATCAAACAAAACAAGTAAGCATGTTTTTTTTTAATGAAATCAAATTGAGATTCTTCTTATTACATATGTCTAACTTTGTTATTGTATGTTTTTACAGATGAGCAAAAATGATTATTTTTCCATACATTCAAAATGACAGTGGTCCACCTGTATTGTAGGCAAATGCAAGTGGTGCAGCCGTCTGTACCTGTTAACCCAGAAGTGCCTCGGACCATATGTTTATACACCTTCGCTTTGTTTCCAACACGAAGTAACAACATGATTTCTGAGGAGCTCTTATACGCTCTTGCTTGTAGTAGCCTCTTACTACACCTGCATTTAAAGCCCCCCTGAAAAACAATCATTTTGTCCCCTTTAATTATGATTTTGAGTTCTCTGACCTTTAAGGAGAGTTTGCTCTGTGAGCTCCCTGCATCAAAAATCCTGATTCCAGTACAGTGTTCTCACGGTCGGGTTGTCAAGGTGTCAAGAACAAAAAGTGGCAGCTGATGGCTCCGCTTTGTGCTAACTGTATGTTTTGTGGTTTTCTCCAATGTCCATACAGGGTTAGGTCAATTGTTCTGTCCACCACAGGTATACAGTAAGTGTGAGTGTGACTGGTTGTGATGGGCCTCTGTTGTGTTCAGGGTGTAGCCCACATTTGCCCGATGACTGCTGGGATTAGCTTCAGCCCCATCATGAGCCTGAAAAAGGGTTGAGCTGTAGAAGCTAAAGAACGAACAAATGAACCTGCAACAGTTGATTTATTATTATATAGGTATCTATATTAAACTTGTATTGTTGTTATTGATATAAAGTTGAAAATATGAATCATTCTTTAAAACTAATTCCTCTTCAGTTTGTCCTGACTGTTAGTGTTAGGATAGGAAGAGATTAGGAAAATGGCCGGCTTGTTAATCCAGCTTGTATGTAGATGTCTGTACAAAGTGTTTTTTGTTTTTTATTTTAACCATTGAAAAATAATTTCTTTTAAAGGTCAGAGAATGATAGAAGGAGCGGCACATTGAGCTGGAGAGGTGCTGGAAGTTAAACCATAAATGTGTCACGTCTGTGAGCTTTGGCTGAGATGATGCTTTAAAAAAGGGAACAATGTTTGTTTTTTCAATATCAGACATTTGAACATGACAAGCTCTTTGCAGCTGGTGAGATCATGAATATACCATTAACAGACAATGGTAACTGCAGTTACCAGTGATACAAAGAGATCAAATATAGACAGCAGATAAAAGCTGTGAAAGCTTCCTGAAGACAACATCAACAAGTTCAACCCAAACAATTAAACACCTTCAAAAATAAACAACATACAACTCACAACTACTGAAAATGGCATATCTTATACAACACATCAGTCATGACCCAATATGAAAGTACACTTATCTGGAGAATAAATAACAAAATTATGGTATGAATATATATACATAAATTTAAAAAAATAAAAATATATATCTGTTTTAACTTATTGTGTAGTGTAAAGTTTCACATGATTAAAAAGACTGTGATATAAATCCAGGTCACTGGAGCTGAAGTGGTTCCTTTAATGGTGACTGTCTTGCTGTTTACTTTTTAAAACGTTCTTGTTCTTGTAATGATATCATCCAAGTCACTGTTGTGTGACTCACATATGCATTAAAAACAATTAAACAACATAAAAAGTCTCCTTCAAATGTATTTGTTGAAATATTCCCTTCAGTCCAGTTCCATTACAACAGGCCAGACACTGTGTTTCTAAATGAATGTAACAAACAATTTGTATAACATATACTGTACCTAATCACATTTCTTAATTTTTGACTTTGATTTTTTAACACACAATTATTATATATATAATATATAATAATGTATAAGGATGATTTTGAGTGTGTCTTTTTATATGATGTGTGGTAAAAAGAGCTTTTTGTGTCTGTACCTTTTTTTAATGTAACCACTGTTTTATTCCACAGTCACATTACTGTAAAAATGCCCATCGCTGTGTGCAATAACATGGACTTCTGAAACCATTGTGCTGGTCCAGTCATTTCATATCATCAATTTAAAGTTTGAGCAACCAGACGTTGGTTCCACCATTATCAAAATATATATAATGAACTTTCACTTTTGCAAAACCTTAAGAAATTCTTAGAGTGAGGTCTTTTTGTTCAAACTTCAAAAATAAGTCGTATCATTGGAGTGTAACATGCAGATTGGGGTCCATGTTTACATTGACCAGAGCAGAGCAACATGTCAAGTAGGGCGCCATCTGCTGTTGTCAATTCTGTACTACTTCAGTTACAACAGGGAATCATGGAAGGTGCCATTCCATAATGTCACCAGAGCAACAAGATAATGAATATGAGTGTGAATGAACCGTCACACTCACCTGATGAAACTATGACGTGTCCATAATGTTTTCACCACACGATGAAACAGGAACAAGGACGCTCTTGTCCCAAACAAAATGTCATTGTTTTTAATATGAGCAAAATATTTTTGGGGGTAGATCCCTACACAACCCTGTACTTTTATGGTAGTTAGCCCAAAAGACTTGATGTCTGCGTCATTGCTGTTTAACTTTTGTCTCAGTCAGCCAATCACAGCAGACCAACTACAGTCCTGTTGTCTCAGGCTAGTGAAGTCATACAGATGTTGGTCATTCCAGATAGCAATCACAGAGTAAGTCACTGCCAGGAAAAGCATGCTAGCTCAAGGCTCATGGCTTGGTCCCATTAGTGATCTCAGCACACGGCAAATGACCTGCTCATACGTGTCAAAGTTCTTCACAAGGGGCAACAGAAACATACTTCACCAGGAGACTTGCCCAGAATATATGTGTTTGGGGACTCATTCCCAGATCTTTGTGATGAACAACAACAACATGGGCAAATAGGAACTACAGATTAAGCCAAATGCTAGCACACACGCAGGGTTGTGGTCAAAAACAAGGTTTTAAGGTGGGGACATTTACTTTGATTTAAATGGATCTTAAATTTAATTTTCTTTTAATTTTGTTCTGCCTTTTCTTCCTGTCGGTCCCTGCAATCATCAGACTCACGACTCACTGCTGTCACCTGTGTCACTAGCAATCAGCCTGATCATGCACACCTGTCCCTCTGAGTATATATAGGTTTCTCCCCCACCCTGTCTTTGTTGATGTGGTCATTATTCACCTGTCGTGTGTGTGTTTTGGTTCTTTTGTTGGGTGTTTTTTTTTCTTCCCTACATTTGTTTTTGTCTGTTTTATACTGAATATTTTTTGGACTTATGTTGACACTGAACTTAAGTGTTTTGTTTATGTCCTGCATTGTCCTCCAGAGACACTGTTTGACGTATTAACTAATACGGGATTGAGTGTGAAAACGGCGCTAGTGTAGCAATCGCTATTTCGACATAGGGTCTCTCAACAATAGTTCTATGTACCAAGAGAGAGGTGGAGGGGGGCAGAAAAAACTTTGACTGACCCTCTTAAAATATTTTTCAAAAATAACACAAAGAAAAATGTTTTCTCAAAGTAAAACAAGTCCTTTAATCCAAGCCATATTCGTTAAATCACAAATACCTTGTTGAGAAACAGGTCTGTTGTTACATTTTACTCAGTTGTACCTCTCAGGATTGCAATACCATCACATTAAGTTACAAGCAGTGTTGTGATTCAGGGTCTGCAGCGTTTGCAAATTACAATGAACGGTGAATGTAAATAAAAAGTCAACGGCGCAGGGCTAAAAGACCTGCGGTGATTAGAGTCTACCATGGAGAACCAAACAGATAGAACCTGTGCAGCCCAGCAGACCTCATCTCACAAAGTTAGTGGATCCACCAATCACACAAATTTATTTTTTCTCAGAGGTCAAGAGTTCATTGCTTGCTCATTTGTATTAGAATACAGCTTTTAATTCAAGATGACAACAGTCGGTTAAAAATCAAATTGGACCTCTACGTATTGTCGGTGCGGTAGAGTTTGATAAGAGTTTGGTAAGAAAATATGCTAACGTAAATGAGGCAACACAAAGGTCCAAATATTTGACAAACGCTCGACCTGGAAGACAGCAGATACTGTACCATTGTTGTTGCGTTAATTCTTTCAAGACATTTAAGCTTGCTTGCTAACAGGAAAACAAGATGGTTGAACTAGCATCTACTGATGGACGTTCAAGCTGCTTCTGGACGATCACCTCTACAAATGCAGTTCGAACACAAGTACAAACAAATGGAAACGAACAAGACTTCAATGCAGTTGAAGTTCAGTTATATGCTGATGATGCAATTGTTGTAGACCCTGGTTGGCCAGGAGTCTGTGCAGTCTTATCTTAGCTGCAGACCCTGAATAAGGACTCGACACCAGTCTTTGACTTGCAGAGATGCATTCTTAGGAGTGAGGTCACACATGGCTCTGCTCATTCGCTATAAGAAACTAAGTCTTTGTATCAAAAATAGCAGTTTATCTAAGAGCAGGAGAGATAAGACTTTGTAAATGTTGTGAGAGCTGCTTTGCTGTTTGTTGAAGCCATGTCATGCTGTGAGGTTAAAGCCTAACAGAGAAACAGCCAAGTTTTACTCTATTGTAAAAAAGCGTGTAGAGTTCACAGACTCTAAGAGGCTCTACTGATGTCATTCATGCTAAGGCATTTTCTACTGCGAGATAGGACACACCCCTTTTTTCTACTTATTCATTTCTGTATGTTCAGTGCAATGCTACATTTTCTTAAACTGTGGATTATTATATATATATATTTTTACCACTGTTTGTGTTGTATGTAAACAAAAGTGACTTGGATAGATTGACCAGGAAACTAAAAAAAGAACAAAAGAAATAATGTAAATACAGCGTATAAAACATTGTAATTAACAGATGTACATTTTTTTATAATTACATTGTACATAGTTAGAAAACAAACATGGTTGGTCATTTTTCTTACTCATGTCAGTGATGAGGTTGATGTTTGGTCCAACACATTTGTACAAAAACCTAAAATATCGAAAAATACGATGACATACAAAGTACCAGGTGGAGCACCTTGTTAAGAATGGACAGCACACGTTGGTTCGGTTGTGCTCGACTTGTTTTGTTGTTTGGCAGAAATCATGTGTGATAGTCCTTCTAGACTAGAGCAAAGGTTCCACCATCCGACATCAACGATGTCACCTGGAGCGGGAGATGTTCTCCAGATGTTCCTAAAATTTGTCAAGTCAAAGGTACGGAGCACCTGCACAAGAACACTGAACATTCTTTGCCTCCTTTACATTTATTGGTGTGCTTTGCTCTTTTTTTTTTTTATCACGATAACATTGTCTAGAGCTTAACTTGACATGCACACCAATGGAGTAACAACTACCAGAGAGAAAAACAAGAAATACTAGATATTTACTGTAAACAACGATGGTTTGTGAACCAAACTGTGCTTATGGCTGTGCCTGTGTGAAAGGGTTTAGAGTCTTCTCTCCTTTCAGCTGTAGGATGGCTTCATTTTGCTGTTCTTAGTCAAGATAAGTGCCCCAAGTATTTGTCCAACCAAGAGACATTCTACCGGAAAAACCTTGTCCATTCATCAATGACAAAAAAAACCCAAACAATAATTCTTCTTTAAGAAACGTAAAGAATGCTGCAGGGATGTGTTCTATATTCCAGAAAACATTGAGCATGTTTGATGTTCACGACCTAACTTGTAGACCTTTTCATAGATTTTATTTTCTGTGAAATCAATGTATAAACAATTCCTGTGTGTTTGATCAAAGGAACACAGTTGATGCTAACCTTTAAATGTCTAAAATGATACATTGTCCCTGAAGCATTCTATTCACTAACTAAGATAAACCTTAAATATGCTTAAACTATCTCTAGGGAAGTACTGGTTCCCATAATAAAAACTAAAAATATGACTGCATGACAATTGTCTTCAAATATTTCCATGACAACAGTGAGGAAATTTCATTGTGTTGGTTGACTGCTCCAAATCCCTACTTCAGATAGTGTGTTTGTTCGTTTGTATGTATTTATGTGTACATGCTAATGTTTACATGTAAATGTCGTTCTGTCTATTCTGGTTTCTTTATTCATGTTCTTTGTAACAGTACACTCCATACAGCTTGTGCTTTTTGTCAGGGAAACCACTGAACCTAACAGCGGCTTCTGTAGGACTGCAGCGCCGACGGGGCTGAGAGATGGGGTAACGAACACTGCCGTCCGCCAACCAGCCCGCATCACAGCGGTCGTAGGCAAGCAGCTTCCAGGCGGCATACATCTGGCCAACTTTGGCAATTTGTGCCCCATCTTTTTGACATGCACTGACTGCCTCATTGTAGGTCAACTTGGATGGTTGAACCAGGTAGTAGAACCTACCTAGAAATAGAAAGACACAAGTCAGTTCAGGTTTACACACAGAAAGGGGAGCAGTAGTTAAACAAAGTTCTAAAAGTCTGATACCCAGTAGAACTATCTATGCAGACGACACTGTACTTCTAAGACTGATATCTAGTAAAACTATCTATGCAGATGACGATATTTTCCACTTCTTTTCAGCTGCTCCACCTTCTACCCCTGTGATCAACCTGTTCCTTCCAAATGTGTCTCCCCTGTCCCTTGTCGTGTACATAACCCGTGTCTTCCCTGCCTTCTGAGGCAGTTCATTCTCATCCTTGTGAAAGGCGTTCTACTGTGACTTCAGTTATGGATTCAGATCCCTCATGTGTGTCTGGTTTCATAGGAAATAAACAACTACAACTTCATAACATTATTATATGAATTCAAAAGCCGTTTTTTTCTATTGCAGTGTCCTGACTTTTTTGTGGCATACCCATCAGTACTGCATACGCTACATTACTGCATTGCAGCAGATTTAGGCCCAGCCTTAATACTCTCATTAACTGAAAAGCGATGACGGTACCAAGACGTTCCTGATGATCATCCCATCATTCCCCTGACCCATTATTTATCTGTATGTGTACTTACAGTCCGTGAGCAACACACTTTCAAAATAATAATAATTACAATAGAATATTATGTAGGAATCCACTAATAAGATCTGCAATATAACACTAGGTTTGTTCACAGTTGCGGTTCCTCGATACATCAGTTAGAGGTGAAAGTTGTTCTTTATTTTTGCGCTTGTCTTTGTGCAGAGTTGATTTTGATTATTTTTTCTTGGGATTACAAAAAAGTGCTAAATCAAATACAAACTTCTGAGCTTGTCCTCTAAAGTGTATCCAGATCTGTAATACAAAAGGATTTGTATATTTACTTCTCCGAGGCTACAAATATTATTGTGGTACTGCTGTGGTTCATTGGGTTGACCGGCTCTATCGTCAACATCTTTGAGACTTGTTCAACTAGTCATTATTAGGGATTAGGGATCTGACTGACTGTTCTGGAAGTAATGTAGATGTCTGACAGACAATGGGTCAACCCTGGATGAGTGTGGAAAATGTAGGATTAAACCCTGAAACTTTTTTTAGGGTAGGTTTCTCTATGATCAACTGTATTGGACCCTGTGTTTCTCTTTCTGGGATTCATTTCATTATTGTCTTCAGGATTTTACTGATATAAAAGTACCTTTGAAGTGGGAGGTGAAGCAGAAAACATCATAGTGGTTCTTGTCCTTGTCTCTGGTGCCGTAGCTGCGGATGCCTGGTACTGTGTCCTTGCCTCCACATGGTTCTCTGGGTGTAGTGATGGGGTACTGGACTGAGCCATCGTTCAGCCAGCCAGCGTTGCACCAATCCAGGCCGTCTTTCCACGCTTCATATAGCTGGTCAAAGGACGCCACGATGGCATCCTGGTCACGACACGCGCGCTCCGCATCGTAATAGTTGAGATTGTAACGACCCAGACGAGGGAAGTATGGGAAGACGATTCCTAGATAGAGAGAAAGGAAATGAGAAACAGATATTATATGTTGTATCAATAGTCCGGAGGGTGGATATTAACGGTTATGGAACCGACAAAGTTTCAAGTCGCTAAAATGCAAATTTGCACTTTTTAAAAATTGTTTTAATGTTTAGCTCTTCTAACCTAGCTTTTCTCTACCAAGGACCGGAAAGACGACATCAGCTGTTGTTGAAGGATCATTGCATTTTCTAAATAAAACATCTCTTAAACTTTATTCTGTTAGTATCGGGGTCTGAATGTCATCTGTCATTTTCTCTAAGCCTCACTCGATGTATTGTAAGTGTTTAGGTTGGTATTTTAAAAAACTGTAACTGAAAAAAAAAATCAGCATTTCCACTGACCAATCAGAAAGCTTCCCAGTTCTTCTTGAACTGTTTTCTGTTTTTCCTGATGACCTAATGACGTTGGATTTTAAGTAAAGCACTGACGTTACAGAAGGCTCTCTCTTTTAACGGTGTAATAAAACAGGATGTATTTATATCTGGGTGGTGTTGACCAGGCTTTGGGCTGGTGCCAGGTGACAGCAGTATTTGACCTAAAGTAGTATTGGCCAAATTCCATGGTTGCTCTCAAGCACACAAAATAGTAAACTCCACTTAAAAGGCCTTCTCTCATGACATTGCCCCAAGCAGCCTCTGCTCATGCAGCTAAATATATCTGACTGCGGCCTGTTTAGGTTCCACAACATTTAATGGACCTTTTATTTCATTTCTCCACATCTTATAAAATCTGCAGGGTCTATTTATTTCCTTTTAACCAGCGTCGTAGTACCTTCAAGGTTAAGAGACACCACCACCGCTTCATCTTCCAGCCCATCAATAACTTCACATTTATATCTCCCATAATCCTCCAAGGTGATTTCTGTGATGACCAGGGAGGCGTCCATGGGGGAGGAACCCTGTAGGTGGACTCGTCCATGAAAGGACCCGTAACTCCGCTTGTGGAAGTCCATGGCCACAAAAACATCCACCTTGACCAAATGAAACAGTAATGTGTTATGGAGTAACAAACATGACCAGACTAAACACTTCATTGTAATTTACTGTCTGGAGCCATCTTGAAGCTTCAGCTACATTTGTTTGTCTCTGTGGAATTTTAAATGGACCAATGTCCAAAGACACGTTGGTAAAAGGAAGCATATATATTTCTACATTTATGCAAAAGTGTATCGTCTCTTAAATGCTTTTCCTTGTCTGTCAACATTGCCCACGCAAATGCTGACTGACTGTTGGTGTCATCGTCTCAGGTGGAGGTTTTGTGTAAAGATGGCTCTTTTATATAAAGTTCTATCAGTCTTCTATCGGCTGTAATGACAAATAACATCTTACCTCCTTCAGGTAGTTTGAAGTCAGTTTGGTCCATTTGATCCTCATCTTACGGTTGGGTGGTAGTGAAGGGTCTCTCTGGATCTTGCATGGTAACGTAGCGTTCCCTCCTCGCCTCGACACGACCTTCAGTTGTTCTGCCACCACTGAGAGCTGAGGACCATTTTCTACAACAGAGAAACCATTTTCACTAAACACTGACAAACCGTGTGTGTGTTACACTCACATTTCAACATTTTTACTCACTATGTTTGTGTTGTTTTATGTTATGTTCATCCAGCCTGCTAGAGGGCGCTAGTAGCAATTGTGGTGATATATTTAGCCAGTAGGTGGCCAGAGGTAATAACTAGTTTGTAGAATGACAAACAGTCCATGAGGTGTTTTTCTGTACAATCCAAAGCCATCCTCTCATTTCCAGCCCTTTGAGCGACAATATGAGTAAGTTTTTACGTTAAATGTGAATGTTGGCAAGTATATTTGTTGCACTTTATACTTTGTCATATTTTATACACGCTATGTTCCAGTGGTGATAGTGGAGTATCTGTGATACTGTTCAGCTACTGTTAACCATTTAATTGTCTAGATTGTGTAACTTTAATGTGCACTGTTGAATTGACTTTTTTACTGAATACTTCTTTGTATTTTATGCCTTTGTAGTTTCACACTTTTTTGCATTACATCCTGGTCAAATACAACACCTGCTTGTTGCTTGGAGGAAATGATGTAAGAGAGAGTTTAGTTGGCTGTCTGGCTGACACGGGGTCACGTTGGGTGCAGCAGTACACTTAGACTTTAACTGTGTTTAGCTTTACGTACAGTAGTAATAATAATAATAATAATGAGTGAGGGGGCAACAAGGGATTCAAACCTGCAATCTTCTGATTGTGCTGTGTGCAAACCAAGTGAATTAATGCTGCCTTTACAAACTAAAAGCGTTTGATACTTGAGATCTACACATAACAAGTGTTTCTACTGATGGATTTTTTTTTCACATTACAAGTGTTTCTAGTGATGGATTTTTTAACTACGTGATATAATTGTTTACTAATAAATTGATTTATTTTACAGACTTTTATTTAAACAGCACTACACCATTTGAAATGCCCCCTAGTGGGTAACTGATAAATGTTTCGTTGCCTGTTTCTAAAAGTCCCTGACTTGTGCAATTCAAGTTTTGACCTGTGAAACTGTGATAGCGTAATTAGCTAGATAACGCTATCTTACAGAAATGATGATAATCCCCCACATAGCAGCTTTATCAGCCGGCCTCTGCAGCAGCACACTGAGAACACTGATAACCTTAAGAAACGAACGACAATGCAGTGCGAGTGCCATGAACGCAGCACAGGAGAGGACAGTGTAAGAAAAGGCAATGAATTAAAACACATTAAACCTGTTAGAAAAACAAACCATAAAACATTTGAAGTTATATTTACCAGAAAAAAGAAACATCACAAAACAGTCGCAAGCTAGGTGTTAACAATAATTGTACTTGTTGTTACCTCTTTTGGTTTAACAGTGATTTTAGTGCATTGTGAGAGAACATCAGATGTACCATGGGAAATTATCCAAATTAAACAGAATTAGTCAGAAAACTATTACTAATTTAACTTGCCATTGTTTGTCTATGTGACAGTGACAGGCTGAAAAAGTAAACAATGTTCCACTAGGTGGCAGTAGATGGCGATAAATGACCAAAATGAGCGATATGTTAAAGAAAATCTTTCTGTGTTTTTCTTCAATTCCTGTCAGTATATTAGCATCGTGTTCAACTAAACAGGCCCTGACTGTTTACTGAGTAACTTGAGACAGGATCATGTCATGTTATCTGTATTTTATTTATTTTGTTTTATCTTCAGTATTATCATTATTATTATTTAAAAATTGTGTTTATCAGTTATATTCCATTTGATTTGATCTTATCTTACATTAAATACCTCCTATCACAACAAACTGTGTGGCATGCAGTAGGCTAACCCTTTGAAAAAAACATTTCCTCGATGGGCGAAAATAACAGTTTTGTCACCTACTGAAGCTCAGACAGTCATTTATGACCTGTTTACATCACATGCCAAATTCCAAGGGTATTTAGCAGCAAAGCCCAATAAAGCATTTTTTTCTACCACTCTTTTCTGTTGCCAGGACTGAGACAGTGGGAGTGGAAACAAATAAAGAACTGTGACTCACCTACAACATAGATGGTTCTGGAGTGCTCCAGTTCAGGGTAGAGGATGTCTAAGTCGTTCTCCGCTACGCTGAGTGAAATCAGAACACAGATGAGCACAGGAATCATTTTCACTCACCAGGCTGGGGTCTGATTGCTGCAGAGAAACACAGAGAGAGGGGAGGGCGAGGGGGGGGGATAAGGGAAGGGGGAGGCAGAGGAGGTGTTTACAAGACAGAACCTGGTTAAATTTTGTTTGTTTGTTTGGTTTTTTGTGTGGCCACTTTTGATTTGGGCTCGTTCTCACTACAACACTTACGCTTATTAGTTGTTATTTATAGATTTATTTTAGATACACGAAGCATGAGCATCTTAAACATGAAGCAGAACTTTATTTCATGTTGGTTGTTTGTTGACCTGTTGTATGTGGGTTGTTTTATTTTATATTAATATTAGAATAAAAAGGTGGTAAAAGTGGCATTCTGGTCTGTTACGTGGTTGAATTCCTCACTGGAAACGAATGGTTATCCTGTAAGTATTCCTGTGTGTGTGATACAGAAACAGGAACATTCTGTTAGATGAATTATTCACTCATAACTGACCATAGTTATCAGTGTAAATGGTTATTTGACCACTATATTTGACCATGTGATGGACCAGGAACGCCGACACTGTCTCCCCTCTGTGACCATGAAAAAACAGTAGAAGTAAAAATGACTGCAGTGCTCTTACTGTTAATGACAAATGTACTGCAACAGAACCAAAAGGTCCACAGTTTGATCACCCTTTATTTTTATAACATGGTTTATAGTATCTATTAACTGGAGGACGTAGAGACCAACGATCAGTTCAGCCAACATATGAGAAAAGTCCAACACCGACGTAGAGTGACAGAGAATTCCACTTTACATTTACACAAAAACTGCAGAAAGTGAACTTGTCGTTAGTACTGTGAGCTGCTTAGATTCACGTTCTGCAGTAAACTCAGACCTCGACTCCGTGATACAAGATTCCTCTCTGCAGTGATGTTTCTCTAACCACCAAAAGGTTCAATATCACTCCCGAATTGCAGAGCCGTCTGCATCATTCACACTCGGAACACTGCAGGGTAAAACACACACATACGCACACATTCCACTGTAATGAACTCAAATACAAATCTGAAATCATGAGCGAGCCTCTGTGACAATCATTAAAACACAGCAGGAAGCAAACACCCATCACTTACTCCCTGTGTTAGCAGTGTAAGCTGTACATACTGTGCTGTCAGTGTTCTGTCATCCTGCAGTCTGTAGCAGCAGCAGCAGCAGCAGCAGCAGCAGCATGTCCTGGGTGACACTGACAGTCCGCAACTTTAGAGGAAGACTGCCACACTGCAGCATCATCCCAATGAGTGTGCACACACACACAGACACACACACCTAGATTTAAAATATTTTCTACGGCCGTTTTACAATGACCACTGGGGTTGTGTCCAAATTTTTAATTTGGTCAATTTTTAACTGGGGTTGTGTCCAAATTTTTAATTTAATTTTTTTGTCCCCAACTCTTTGCTCTTTTTCTTATTTTATAAATACTGGTACTTTCAGACGGTTCCACTATTAATAAGCCATCCATCTCAATGCCATCTTGTGGTTTTTGCTGCTAATCTCCTGTCACTAATACTTGTCTGCATCAATCAATTATTCACTGTAAACTGTCATTTATTTTTTCTTAAAAAACATGACTGAATTGATGGCTAAAACGTAACCAGGCTTAAAGTCTCTACTAATAAGAGTTATTTTTTAAAAAAAAACTAAGGTAAATGTCTTAACATTTGTAACATCGCCTTGTTAGCAAAACCTTGAATATTAGCAGAACATTTTGAAGGGCGCTGGAACATGAAGCTAGCTGGCTACATGAAGCTGATCACAACAACTACTGTACAACACTGGCAGAAAAGTCCAAGTATTTCTATCTGTAGTCTGTAGAACAGGCTTCTATACGAAATATAAAAAGCTACATTTTGAAAGTTATGGCAGTGGATGTTGCTACGAGGAAAGATTCTCACAGTTCTTGTTCAAGTAAACAAAGCAGTAAAGAACCTGTCACACCATGTAATGATGGTGTCAGAACTACATGATGCAGTATCTACCGTGTAATTAGGAAGTACCTGAACCTTCTTAACGAAGCTAACGGTGACAAGAGAAAATAGTGGCTAGCTGTTATGAAAGAGCTTATGAAAGCACTGACCGAAGAAGGCAGAGGAGAGTTGTACTGCCAAACCCTTTTTCATCGTGTACTGAACAGTACACTCAGCAAAGACTGTAAGGTCTCTCTCTTTAATCCTAAATTTCAAAGGGACATTTTTTCACACTGTCCTCACAGCCCTGATCTGGAAACAAAGGGACGTTTGAAAGTGACCTGAACCGGTGTGAGATTCCACAAAGGAAGAATCATTAATTTTAAACAACGCTTAAACATGTGTTTGACATCAACAGAGGATGAAAGTTCCAAACAGGGCTACATTACCACTCTTATTGGTATTTCACAAAAACAAACACTGCAGTACCTTCAAGATAATGCCTGCCTTTGATTACTGTCAATCCTTGACTGCCAAACCTGCAGTCCAGGTCAGTTTGGATGTTTCAGGGCAGACGAGGTCAACAGTTTTAAAAGATATTGGTGATCAAGGTCCAGTTTGTTATTATTTGGTACTGAGGTGGTGACCAGCAGTCCAAAACTCAGCGATGTCTGATAAAATCCTCTCCATACATGTGGACACATTCACAGCTGAACTCTGTTTGAACACAATTCCTACAAAACTGCTATTCCTATTTATCATTAAACATATTTAATAAAATTAAATTACAGTCACAGAAATTATAGATTTTTTAGGAAAGATACATTTAAGTTATTTCAGTTAAAAAACGCAGAGTAAAAACGACCAAAGTGCATTGACCTGAGAGGACTCAGAAGGACGAAGGGGAAGGGAACATTTTGAAACTTCACTCCACTGAAACACTCTGTATGTGACTACGACATTGAGAAGCTAGAAACAGTACTGAATACTTGTGTGTTTTTGTTGGAGAGACTGGGTAAAAAAGAAAACAACGATACAGAGAAAAATTGGACAGAGAGGCAACGGACAACATTCCTCTTCCTCAATCTGTGTAGGTCATAAGAAAAGTCTCTCTAGCCCAGGTGGGTGTGTGTGGAGTGTGTGTTTGCTGAACCATCACCAGATTTCTGATGAATTCAGCAACTATTGATTATCTACTGCATCCTGATAGACCTGTCTTAGCCGTGGGAGTGGGCTGCAGGAAACATACCATGTCTGGCTGTAAACATGGACCACTAATTAAATACAAAAAACTTTACACCTACATTCTCACCACACGTTATTGTTAAACTACATTTCCTAAAGGTTTTTTTTAAAGATGAAAAAAGCTAACTACGCTAAGCTAACACAGCTAACACCCCAGCACCTTGTTTCTTCTTCTTTGGTCATAGTTTTGTATTCTTTGGTGTATTACCTCCTTTCTTCATGCTTCACTCTACACATCCGTACTACGTTGACATGAAATTGAAATTACCCTGGATGAGGATTAATGTTCTCTTTTTTAAGTAGTTAAGAGTTCATCTAAATCAACCGTGTTGAGTTTCAACTTTTGTCGCGTTCTGGCTGTAGTAGAAAAGTCAATATGAATGTGTGTCAGACACACCCACAGCCACACCCACAGCGTAATCAAACGAGCGATTGCAGACATTTCTTTAATTATATGACAGTAAGCACTAAATGCATAGTAAGCAAAAGAAAATCCCAGTGGGCACAGGGTCAAACTAGAGATTTGAGATCTTGTTGAAGATGAGGTCATTTATTGTTCTACGAAAAACAGTGGACCCCTCCCCACATACTGCCTGCCAAAATAACGAAATAAATGTGCAGCGAGGCCAATGCAAATCCACAATAGTGGATTAAGTTTCACGTTTAGAACTTTTGTTTTACAACTTTGACCTCCATGTTGGAGCTGAAGCGTGTGTTTCAACCTGGTTTCCATAGGTCAATAGATCTTATCTGCACCTGGTCAACTATTGGCTGGCTGAACAGCCAAGACTGTCTAATCTTGTTTTCGGTGTGCAACAGTTTGAACAGTCCTACAGTAATGAATACAACAGTAAGTGCGGTAGGATGAACCACCAACCTCACCAAACAGTTACTCTGCTGTTGGTTTCGTGTTTATGTGATTAATCAAGATTAATCAAGGTAAACGTCCATTAATGATGATGATAGTGATTGAACACTGTAATAACATTCAACTGTGTATAAAAGCCCTGATAAGTGAATGGAACTATTGGGTGTACAGTCTACGTCATTCTGCACAGGCTTTAAAATCCATTAACATTTGAATTACATTCATCTTAACAAAGAAAACACACTTTTTAGGTGTTCATTTTGACAGCCCTGTTCAGAATAAACTGTACAATTATGTTGGACACTTGTAGAAAATGAAGGCTCTAAATTTACTGTGGGTTTAATGGTGTAGTTCCCCATAGTTTGAAACCTTTTACAGAACCCTTTAAGCACATACACACAGCAACTTTGAGGTAAACCTTCACAAAGAAGTTCACTGGCCTTTACACACAGACACTTTCCACTCCTTGTTTGGTAATGCTGTCTTTTAGTCTAGTTTCTGTTGAGGGCAGTAATTACAGCACTGTTCACATGCCTTAAAGCCCTTTATAGACAGGAGAAAAAGTGAGACGGTAATGGTTCAATGATGTCTGTGAGTTTCTACACCTTTCTCCTACAACAGTTTCAAACCAACACACACTGTAATGTCACTGTATGTTCTTCACTTTAAGACATTTGGTTATTAGTATATAACAGTGTTTCCCCAAGTCAATAGACATTATTCATAAACTCCTGGGAAACATGATGTGAGACGACCCAAAACAACACACCTGAGGGTCGCGACCCAGTCTTTGGGAAACAATGGTATATAACATACCATCACTGTACAAAGCTATTAAGCTATATATTAAGCTATTTCTCAATATATAGTACAGTTTTAACTATTATGCAGGGGACAATTCCATCGAAGAATTCCGGGGAATGTCCTTCACACAAGGTTCTGCTTCAGAAGCTGGGTCAACACCTGTTGTCAAAATCCAGCA